GGTTCCCAGTACCCACTCCGGGCAGCTCACAGTTACCTGTACCTCCAATTCCAGGAGATCCAATGCTCTCTTCTTGTCTTTGTGGGCATGTTTACACACATGAACATACCCCCCCCCCATACACATACATAAAAATAATAAATGAACCTAAAAAAGTCAACAACAAAGACGTGTTTATTCTGCCCCACGGTTCCAGGCACAGTCCATCACAGCAGGGAAGTGACTCGTTTATCTAATTATTCTTTATCAATAAAAACTCAGGAGTCAGATATCGGGGCGAGAACCTGAATGATCAGAAAAGCAGCAGAGAAGTGACCAGTGACCTCCTCTCTCTTTCTTTCCTTGATCCAAACTGCCTGAAAATCTTTCTAACCCCTCCCTAGTACTTCCTGTGTCTCTCTATATGTCCTGGGTCCTCCAAAAGCTCTATGGCTAATTTTGGTCAGCTAGTACCTAGCTCCTCCCTCTGATTCAAATTAAACTTTATTGGCAATCTTGGGAGTGTCAGTACAATCAAAATATCCCACAAGAGGAAAGTCATGGTAGCAGGAGCTCAGCGCATCTGGTCCCCCCACATCTGTAGTCAGGAAGCAGAAAGAGGCAATGCTGGTGCGCAGCCTCCTTTTTGTTCATTTGGACCCTTCAAGCCCAGGGCATGGTGTTGACCTCTTTAGAAGGGTCTTCCCACCTCAATGGACCCAATCAAGATAATCCCTCAAAGCGGTGCCCAGAGGCTAACCAAATCCAAATAACCCCTCCCAGGTGCCTGGAGGCTTGCCTCATACGAAATTGCAGATCCTCTCGAGTTGACTGTCAGGACTAACCATCTCACCACTGTGCAGCTACCAAAATGGCTAATAATATGATTGGGAGCATCGGATCCTGAAGAGTCGTGACAATGTAGGTGTATCAGTTATGTTTCTATTGCTATGATAAACGCCATGACCAAAACAACTTATAGAAGAAGAGCTTGTTTGGGCTTATGATTCCAGAGAGATAAGAGTATGGCATGTCAGGTAACAGCAGTCATGGACCCGAGCATAAAGCTGAGGGGCTCACATCTTGAGCTATAAGCAGGAGGCAGAGAAAATAAAGAACTGGGAATGGTATGTGGCTTTGAAACCTCAAAGCCTACCCCTAGTAACATACTTCCTCCACCAAGACCACACCTTCTAAACCTACACAAAAAGCACCACTAACTGGGGGCCAAGTATTCAAACAGCTGACCTATGGGGACGTTCTCATTCAAACCACCACAGTAGTCAACATAGCCTCTACCAGGGTTCTGTTTCTAAGACACTAGTTTAGAATCTTTCCTGAGAGTTCTTGGTGACTCTCCCCAGTGAAAGTGATGATGATCAATTGATCAATCAATTGATAGATAGGTAGGAAGAAAGAAAGAAAGAAAAAAAGAAAGAAAGAAAGGTGGGTGGGTGGGTAGATAGATAGATAGATAGATAGATAGATAGATAGATAGATAGATAGACAGATAGATAGATATAGATATAGATAGATGATATTCTTTCCTGTGAGTAACTAAAACCAATGCCGCTATCACTTGAGTCTCATTTCTTCCAGTATCAAATGAATGATTTGGACTAAATAACACTGAAGCAGTTTTCCAGGTCTGATTTTCTTGATTCTTTTTGTTTGTTTTTTGAGGTCAGGGTTTCTCTGTGTAGCACTGGCTGTCCTGGAACTCACTATGTAGTCCAGGCTGGCATTGAACTCAGAGATCTGACTGCCTCTGCCTCCTAAATGCTGGCATTAAAAGCATGTGCTACCACTGCTCAGCAATTTTCTTGATTCTTGGTAATTGTATAACTTAATATAATTTGCTTCATCACAACATTAAGTATGAATAATAATTTTACATCACATAAAGTTTTATCTTTAAAAATATTTGCTGTACATTCATGATACCATGGCCATTCCAGAGAGTTTCATCAACTCTCTCTCTCTTCATGCTGCCTTTGTTATGAGTTATTTGCACTGTAATAAGCTAGGCAATTTTCTGATTATCTCATTCAGGGAAAACTAGTCATGCCGCACTGGATAGTTTCCTGTAAAAACCCCCAGGGACTCACTGTGCTTCCTCCTTGACCTCCATTTGCCTATTTGATTGAACACACAGATAAAAGGAGAATTGATGAGAACATGAAATGATCTAACTTGAAATGTTTTTCTTTTCTTTCTTTCTTTTTTTTTCTTTCTTTCTTTTTTTTTT